GCACGGCCAGGGACGTGTCCGGTCGAACCGGCCGGACGTGTGTTAAGCCGTCCGGTCCGGTCGGCCGGACGTCACCGGTTCCGTGCGGAAAAACGGGCCGGTCGGTTTTTTTTTTTACCTCCGAGCTGCTCGACATTTTTGCGGACACAAAAAATGAAAAGGGCAAAATCGTCCAAGGGGGGCGGTGACTAGTAATAGGGGGGCGGTAAATAGTAATGCCCAAGAAAAAATGGGCTATTTTAATATTTTTAAGGTAATTATATATTTTTTATAAAAGGCGGGTCAGTCCTTGGCCCGCTAAGCCCGTCCCGCCAAAGCTTGCAGCCCGCGCGGGCTGACTCGTTTAGGCTCGTTCTCCAACGGGCCTCTAATATCACATCCCGACCTACCCTTTTGGCAGGCTGGGACGGGCTGACCCGCGGGCCTCAGCCCGTTTTGACAAGTCTAGATGTGAGGTTCTAGGGCACAATGTTAGTGTTCCTCAGTTGTATTGTTTCAGCTTTAGGTCAATGGATCTACCGTTTGTAAGACTTTTGTTTTATTTATACAATCGCTCTTTGGAAAAGAAAAAAAAAATTAATAATCTATATCTATATATATATAAAGAGGGAGTTGATGGAATTTATTGCTAAATATAGATGATATGCAATGACTATAATTGGCAACATTTCTACATTTGGTTGGGTAATTGTAATTGTAAGGTTAGTTATTTTTGTTAAGAATGCCAAATAATTATGGAAAATACATTAACATAGCTAAATTCGTATTCAATTAATTTTGGTAAATTTTAAGAATGGAAAATAATAATTATAAGTTAACTTACTCAATTCATTCTGTTTGGAAATATATTAATATTCTTTTACTATATATTTAAAAATATATAGCATCAACTACGGTCAGCCATATTCCAATCACTTGATACCTTAAATATATTTAATATCATGAACTCTACATATGTCATTACTATGTTCTTTTAAGGCAACAGTATTAGTTTATGCTAACATAACCATACGTATTAGTTTATTCTAACATTACGCATAGATCCAAAAAACATGTAAAAAAAATATTTATTATGAATAACCTATTTAAATTAAGTTATTAGATGAATACATGATAATGGTGAATGCTGGTAAAATTTCAAAAATTATACACCAAGTTGAGCGTTGTCAACAAAATAGATATTTTGTTGATCCTTGCGGAAAAGAAACATTTAGTTGGCGATTTGGTCGGAAAAGATATATTAATCACTCCACCTGGATAAAAAAGCTGGCGTGGCCGGATTAGGTAGTGACGTGGCATTATAACTTTCTTTAGTTTCATACGTGTTATATACATGGCGTGATGTGACATCATTATCTCAAAATACACAACTACACATAGATAAATAAAAATAAAATAAAATAAATCCAAAAAATAAATAAATATAAAGATACATCAGCAAAAAAAATAAAAATAATTATAATAATAATAAAAATAAAAAAAATAGAAAAATTAATAAAAATCCAAAAATAAAAAAATATATATTCCGTTCTATTTCCTTAACTATATATTAATAAAATATTTTTAAAATTATATTTCGTTAATATATATTAAAAATTATTAAAAAATAAAAAGTACTTTGTTAATATTTCGTTAATAAGAATATTTTGTTAATATTTCGTTAAATATAAATATATTCACGAATATATATTAAAAAATATTTTGTTAATAATAATAATTATATATAATTTATTATTAATTATAATATCTAATATAGTAGTTTACATAAAATTTTATTTACTTAATATATATAAGTATTAAATATAAATATAAATGACAAAATATAAATTTATATTAAAAAATATATTTTAATTTATTTCAAAAATATATATCTAAAAAAATATATTTTTATTTATTTAAATATAAATTTATACTTGTGATTTATATTTATATTTAATATACTTATATATATTAAATAAATAAAATATTATGTAAAGTATTATATTAGATAGTATAATTAATTATATATAATTATTATTATTAATGAACTTCATTTTTCTTTTTTTAGTATTTTTTTAATCTATATTAGTGAAATATATTTATATGAAATGAAATATTAACGAAATATTTTTATATTTTTAATATATATTAACAAAATATAAATTTTTTTAAATATTTTATTAATATATAGTTGACAAAATAGAACGAAATATATTTTTCTATATTTTTTTTATTTTTGGATTTTTTTTCTATTTATTATTATTATTATTTTATTTTTCTGATGTGTTTTTATTATTTATTTATTTTTAGATTTTTTTTTTTTTTATGTATGCGTAGTTGTGTACTTGGAGAGAAGGATGACACATAACGCCACTTATATAACACGTAGAAAATTAAGGAAATTTATAATGTAACGTCATTATCTAATCCGACTACTTCAGTTGTTTATCCATGTTGAGTGATTAATGTATCTTTTTCGACCAAATTGTCAACTAAATATTTCCTTTCCGTGAGGGACAACAAAATGTCTGTTTTGTTGACAACGCCAACTTAGTGTATCATTTTTTAAATTTTGCCGGTGAATGCTTAACAAAATACTTGAATCATATAATGTCAATAAAAATTAAGCATTATTATTGGTGAATGCTTAACAAAATACACCCAAACTTACCAAGATACTCGAGTACAAAATAGGATAATTCACGCTATAAATCTCATATTCAAAATCTATGTATTGTTCTCTCATATTCAAATTCGATGGTGGTGTTGATTTCTTGCATGACATGCACACTCAGGAGTTCTTAAATAGTATAAAATGTTCTGGTGTTCCAAATCATGAATTGCACTTAAAGGTTGGGACTTATGTCATGTTGTTGAGAAACATTGACCATTCGATTGGACTGTGTAATGGAACACGCTTGGTGATACCGAAGCTTTTCACTCATGTGTTTGAATGTAAGATTCTAACAGGATCAAATGTTGGACATAAGGTATTGGTACCAAGACTTTCCCTAACTCCATCTGATCTCAGATACCCTTCAAGTTCCAGCGTAGATAATTTACTCTTATGTTTTCTTACGCAATGACAATCAACAAGAGTCAAGAGCAGTCGTTATCCCATGTCAGACATTACATGAAAAGACCCGTGTTTATTAGTCATGGTCAATTATACGTTGATGTGTCTCGAGTCACTAATCCACATGGATTGAAGATATTAATATGTGGGGGGATGATAGTGGGGAAAAGAAAACTACTATGTCTATCGAGAAATTTTTCAAAATTTGTAATACCATATAATATTGTACTTTTACTATCTATTCAATAATAATGTTATTTATTTGTCATTTACTTTTTATGATATATATAGATATTATAATATATTTATTAAAATATTTTAATAAATATGCTTCGTGCATCGCACGGGTGAAGATACTAGTGCATCATAAAAAGGCTTTTGCTCTTCCCTTCTTTTGGTTGGGCTGCCAACCAATAGACATATAATCATATTTATAAGTCATTAATTTTTTAATTTAATTTTTATATTTTTGAAAAAAAAACACACACACACACAATAGGTGAGCTGGCAAGCGACCCGCCTCGCCCGCTCCGTCCAAACCCTCAGCCCGTGAGACAACCCATTTAGGCCTGCTCTTTGACGGGGCCTTACGAATAACGGCCCAACCCGCCTATTAGGAGGGCGGGACAAGCCATTGACCCATTCTCGCTTTAACAAGACTGTTTCCCCCAACGATATCATTGTGCCTCTCAGTAGGGTCTTGTTGAGATCAACTGTTGCTCGTATTTGATAATTCTTATGTTCTCGCTTCCCTCTTCTGCAATAACCATAATTTTCATTTTTTTAAACACACTACCAAATTTTAAATCTCGTCACAACTGAAATCCAATGACAAGAAACCCGCCAAATTTGTGTTTATAAATCTATCAAACCCAACTAATTTATTCTCTCCATAATATCCTCAGCACATTCTTCTAAAATGACATTGCTTGTCAAAAGACCATGAGATTCCCTTCAACACTCTCTGTCGTGTATCGATCTAAAGACAAATTGGAAGGTATTAAAACATATCTCTTCGATGCTCAAACCTTCTCGGGTCTGCCAGATGATGTTCAGAGTTCGTCTTGCGAAATTTGCTTTTTTTTTTTTTTCACTCCATAGATTCTTCCACATTCATTCATACTGAAGGCTTTATCTTTCCCCTCCAACACAACTCCTTTTTCTACTACAGAAAAATCGAATTCCCGAAATTTCTCCTCCAAGTTTGCATCAGTAAAGTCTCCCATTGTCAATTTCCTTTGCCAATCTTGTATAATGAAACCTGCAAAAACAACGAATAGAAGCTCTACCAAACCCCACAAAAACACAAAGGAACAGTGACAAACCCCCTCCCCCCAACCCCCACCTAATTGCTCACTTTAAAGGAGTAGTGAAACAGAAATGGCAACAAAGAGACGAGAAACAAAGAAAGAAACTACGAGACGAGAGGGAGCATAAAATAACTAGGTTAGAAAAGAGATGGACAGTAGACAAATGACAAAGCAAAAAATAACTACGTTAGAAAAGAGATTGAGAGTAGACGAAAGACGAAGAAAATTAATAGTTTTCAATGAAGTGAACAGTAGTAAACAATCCTACAAGAGGAACTTTGGGCTCTAGTGAGAATTTTTCTCTCCATCTCGAGGAGAATTTTGATTCGTTCCACTGTCGATCTTATTATACAATCAGTCGCATATTCGAAATCTGGTAAGGAGGGCATTCATATCAAAGCTGGATGGCAAGATTTATGCTGAAGTTAGATAAAGTCACAGACAAAGGAAATAAAATAAGAACAGTGTAGTGTAGATTGTTCGTCCACGGTAAAGCATGAACAATACCAACCGCAGTTAGTCAGCCTAAAACTCTTTCAAGGTACCACAAAAACTCAGAAAATGGAATTAAATTAGGTAGCAGCAAATTCAGAAGTTTAAGAAGCTTCTAGGGATCAAAATGGCTTTGAAATAATTCACTTCCAAAGTTTGACGATTTTGTCGTGGCTTGCAGACGCAACCAAGCCTGCAACTGTCGACACAGCCAATGATGCAATTAGTCCTTCGTGAGCTGAAAGGGTCATTGTTTTGTTCTCGCTCATGTTCCAAAGCTCCAAAGACTGCAAAACCAGATCAAACATCATTAGTTGCTATTCAAACAAAAACGTTTGCTTTTTTACTTTAGGCATCAGAATTTCAGGGGTTGGAAAATTGCAATGTGAGACCTGATAAGCTAGTTAGTTTACTCGATGACGCGTGATTACAGTGACTTTGAAAACTGAAAAGTCGCATTTGGATTTTGAGGGCTTTGAAATCCATTTGCTATCACATTGTTATAATATCCGAAAAAATACAGATTTAAAATATTGAATTTATAAACTTCAGTGAAGAATCTTTGGCATGTGGGTTGTGTGTATATGTCTGTGTTTGAAATGCTTGTAATACAGCTATTTCCATATACACCCAATTGAACTAAATTAAATGTAAAACACAAAAAAAAAATCTAAAAACATCGATTATTTTCCGAAATCATAAATACCTCTTAAAGTTGAGGTATGTGGAAACCTAACAAATACTAATACATGTGCAGTCAAAAGAAGAAACGTGAACGTGATTTGCATAATCTAAAAGACTCACCAAATTAACATTGTCTGTATTTAGGATAGGATAAACCTCGGGTAGATTTGTAAATCACAAAAAAAGTAAACTAGAGAAAATAAAACTTGCCTGATAACAACCAATAACGAGCAAGGACGAATACGTCGGGTGGAAAACGCAAGAATGGAATTTGTTTCCATTACAACTGAGCTCGTGCAAGCATTCTCCTTCACTTCCAGATCTCAATGTCCACACCCTAACCGAGTCCTCACTAACGGATGCCAGCAGCTCTCCAGATGGGTCCCAGCAAATGGAATGAATAGGTTTCGTGTGGCCCTGTACACACACAAACCAAAAGTAAGACAACAATATATTTTAAAAAAAAATATATAGCAAAAGAAATCAGGGACTATGTACCAACACTATCAATACCATAAGTGGTGGTTACATGAAAGAAAGGCGAATAAAGTAATACTTATATATCCTTAAGATGTCACAAATACACCCTTGAGCTGTGCATTCATCAGATATTTTTCTTTATTATTACCAAGCCTAACCATCGGGGTAGTACTGGCAATTATGCCCTAAAAAGATACATTTTCAGTTTACGATAGGTGCATGCAAGTCTTCTTCGAAGAATCTGTATATCTTCAAGTCAACATCACTTTTTGAAGAAATTATCAACAAGAGGGGGAGCATCTATGATAAATTTTCATTGTTTGTTTTCAAGCTTAACCCTATGATAAACCAAAAAAAAAAGACACAACGGGAAGGTAGAGAAAGAATTCACCTTCAATGAATGACGACATGCATTTGTCTCAGCATCAAGAATCGACACTACATTCTCAGCAGCAGCTGCAAGATATCTTCCGAGACGAGGTTGAAATCTAACTTGGACACTGCCACCCTACACCAACCAGAAATAAAGAACACATACACACACATACACAGGTGAGATAAAACAAATACTGAAATGATCCTTCAAAACCACAAGTACACCTTGATATTTGTTAGAATTTATACAAATTGCACCCACAACAGACGGTCATTTGTAGAAGAAATTGGAAGTTTTGTTTGTTAAATGGGTGGATTTGAAATTCTCAAAGATGGCATATACTTTTCATTTGCTATAAATTAAGATTTTTGAACCTTGAAAACTCTGGTGTAGTTCCCCTTGTTTATACTCCAGTATCTTATTTCACCGTCACCATCACACGAGCAGATGAGGTCATCTTTATTGGGATGAAAATCCAAGGACACCACGCCAGCAGAATGTCCGGTAAAGGTACGAAGTGAGTAGCCCGGCTGTCAAAACAAAGTAAAATCATAAGATCTTTAATAATGATGACATAGAGGATTGACATTTTTATATTTTTTCTCTAAAAAAAATAAATGACAGATACTCCAAAGGAGAACAAAAGAATGTCACTATGCCATCCTTTTTCTATTAAAAATAAGAAAAGGGTGAAGTTTCAACTAACAGTATCCGCATCCCAGACCCTGACGGTTTTATCGAAAGATGATGTGGCAAGGCGGGCCATGCTAGGACTAAAACGGACATCAGTAATAAGTGCAGAGTGTTCTTCGAGCGTAGTTTTCGGCTTCAAAGAATCCGTGTACCATAGAACAGCCTGTATAAATGTCAAGAAAACTTCATTGCGTGCAAAAAGTGACATGAATAAAAATGATGTTCACCAAGTAGCATTAATTAGGGGCTATCGAATATTTTGTTCACATGACTGCGAACAATGTTGCTCAATCCTGAAACTCGCCTTTTTGTCATGTCCACCACTGGCAAGCAGTTTTCCATCTGATGAGAAGTGGCAGCAAGCAACTTTACTTCCACTAGCACGAACAGAATTCACTTCTGTGAATGTAAATCCTAAATCGATAATTTCCAATCAGAACATAATAAAAGCAGTACTCATAGAAAAAAATAGAACACTCATACAGTCTCAAAACAATTAGAACACTAATATAGTCTCAAATAGTCTCAAATATTCACAAAATAGCCTCAAGCGATAAATCAAAATAACGGAAAATATTTCATTACCTTTGCTAACGTCCATACAGCGGCCAACCGCATCTCGGGGGTCGGCATCATCATGCGACAGGAAAGACTCCACATTATCCTCTACATCATCCACAAAACGATCCATATCAGCTTGCCCGAGTTCCTTATCATCCCACTGCACAAAATAACACATTAAGAGAGAAAAATATTCCAGATCGAACTAGACATGGCCAATGAGCCGGATCTTCCAGTGCCGGGCCCAACCCGGTGGGTCAACAATGTACAAACACTTGAACCAAACCCACCCAGGAGATTGGCAGTTCCAGTTCAGAACCCGCTGGTTCTTGTTAAAATGTATTTTTATTAGCTAAATTCATATAACTTGTAGAAAATTGAGAGGAGCGAAAAGAAATTGACTTCAGCTTAATTCAAATGTTACAAGTTAAAAAATGTTATAGTAATTTGTGGTTCTTATGTCATCCAACTCTTCATTTTCTTCAGCTCCTCCAAGCAGAAATCATTATATGATATTATCAAAATGTTAAAAAGAGCAAAATGAGTTGATCAAAGTCAATGAATTCACATTAGACACGAGAAGTCCATTCTCATTAGAACAACTTGGAATTTCAGATATTGATTTCCTCCTGGATAAGCCGAAAAAAACACATTTTTTCTCTTGGGTGGTCGTGAGCTAAAAGCACCCAACCCAGCCTGGAACTGGTCATTGAAAATTCAAATTAAAATTTTTAAATTTAAACCCAGGGGGCAGGATAGGAACCCTTCGGGTTGTTCCAGATCCGGGTCAGGACCGAACCCTTTTTTCTGGGCAGCCCAGATCCGGCCCATGTAATACACAAGCTCAGTCAAAGTTCTGGCCCGAGGCCCAGGTAAACGGGTTCGGGCTGGCAACTAATGGGCCAAAACTGCCTGTTTCGGCCCACTAGCCATGTCAAGATCGAAGAAGAACTCCTCAAATAGATGATCCATGTTATTTACCAACTGATTTGATGGTGAAGTGAGAGTGCCCGTGTTATCGGCCCCAAACATCATCAGAGGCTTTGAGGAGCTGCCGCTGTGTGGCAAGGCTGGCATCGACATCACGTCTCCCGGTGTATGAGTCGAGGGTGTTGATGGGGCTGAACTTGGAGAAGGCCCCGCCGTATTTCCTGTTCCTGAGCTGTTGGCGGGGCCTGAAGAAGATACGGGCTGCTTTCTTTTTCTCCCAGCCTGGCTTTTTGAAGCCTAGAATGCATTGGAGGCCATTTAGGAATCTTAACTCAGTTAACAACACACACACACACACACACCCCTAGAGAGAGAGAAGAAGAACAAAATACAAAATAACCAAAACACAAATGAAAACAAAATATAAAGGGTAAGGCAAAAAAATAAAGAGAAGGCACATGAAAGTAGCATTTGAATCACCAGGGATAGATCAACTTGGAGATACAAAATGAAATGATAAATCCAACTTATAGACAGTTCTAGCACCAACCAACACAAAGATATGTCAACATTTTTTTCTATCTGTGTAGAACCTTGATTACACAATATTATTGCAGTAAGGGCAATACAAGACTTCTATCCTGAAAACATGTTGACTGCAGCAATTTATCAACAATAACCCTGAAGCATGAGCGCCGGATATTTTGCAGTAACACACACAATAAAAGATCAATCCAACAATAAAATATAGAAGGAATCAACGAACATGTGATTTTCAAACGAGCTGTAATAGTTCCAGAAGTATCAAGAATATAAAAATAGAAAATAAAAAATGCTTAAAAACGAACCAAAGGGAAAATTGCGACCGAGATGGAAAAGGCTAGACCTGATCATTTCCTCGGAATGAATTGGACATGCTACCATCAGCTGTGACACTGCCACTACCCATAATCTTATCTTGCTGCAGATTGTGAATCAAACTTTGCGCCTGCTGACCAGAGAGAGCATGTTGCTGAAGTTGTTGCTGTTGTGATTGGTTACTGCTCTGCTGATGCTGCTGCATTTGCGCAAATTTCAACTGCTCAACAAAATCAAAACAGCTCCATCAGCAATCAAACTATACATAAACAGTACCAAGATTCCTTCTAAAATTTCAGTGTCACCAACAAAATACTAAGCATATCCTTGTGCTTTAGGCCTAATGACATATCTCAAAATTAAAGTCCGGACCTATCAAAGTGCCACAACTTACAAGCTTTGAATTTTGTACTCTGTAAATTTTTGTTTTATTTTTTTTTTTATTTTAGAAAACATGGTTTTTTTCTTACTTGACCTAAACCTGAATCTTGTGTTGCTTATCATAACTAAACCCAAAACAAAATTGTAGAACTGAAAAAATTCAAATGGGAAGAAAAAGCACCTTCATTAGCATCTCGGTATCTGCACGAGGCAAAACCTGGCAGCCAGCTTGCAAAGGGGACCCAATATTAGGCACCACATCACCAACTGAATTAGAGAGCCCGTCTTTACCCATAGAGAAGCTTCGGTTGTTAAAAAGCATTTTCAACCTTTGGCTCTCGACATCACTGATGGGTGGAGAAGCGAGGCTCTGCTGAGCGAGCATGAGTTGTTGCTGGTGCTGAGGTGTCAGCATCTGCAATTGATTGAAGGGCTGTGGTCCCTGCATGAACGATTTTGGCTGTTGCAGGAGCCCAGAACGAAGTTGCTCGAGGCCCTAGAAAAATACATAGAAGAGTTAGAAGAGTAAGCATAACCATAAGGGACCATTAGAAAAA